TTGTCTGGTGAATTTATTCTTTGTCTTCACTAATAACATCACCATCAACATGAGCTCAAAGACTTTGTTTCTCTTGTTGACCTCAAAATCTTGTTTGTGTGTGTTTGCATGTATATGGGTGTACATGTACATGTGTATGCATGTGTACAGAGGCCTAAAGTTGATGTATGGCATCTTTCCCAATTGCTTTCACTTTATTTATTGAGGTAGGAGCTCTTGTTGAACCCAGAGTTTGCCAATTTCCACTGGTCTAGCTGGTCAACCAGCCTTGGGCTTCTCCTGTCTCAGTCTCCCAAGTGTTCAGATTGCAGGCAGCTGTGCTGTCAGGCTTTTGTGTGTGTTCTGGGGATTGAAACTCCAGCCTTCACACTTTGGCAAGCACTTTATCTACTGAACCATCTTCCCAGCTTCCATCTCAAAGTCTTTAATCAGAATAACCAAGTTTTGGTAACTATTTGTTAAACAGACGTAGAGATGATGGGGCTGGAGAGATGGCTCAGCAGTTAAGCTCACTGGCTGTTCTTCCAGAGGACAAGGGTTCGATTCCCAGAACCCACATGTGGCTAACAACCATCCTTAACTCCAGTTCCAGGGGATTTGACAGCCTCTTCTGCCCTCTGTAGGAACTGCATGACACAGGTACACTGACACACATGCAGGAAATACATTCATACACATTAAAAAGAGACGTGAGTGGAGAGGATGGAAGAAGAACTAAGGAAGGAAGGAGGTGGGTGGGTGAATGAATGAATGGGCAGGTTTGGACTGATGGATTGGTGGGTAGGTAGAGGATGGATGATGACTGAGTGAACGGTTGGATAGACAGAGGAGTGGATGGGCAGATGGAAGGATGGGTAGATGGAGGGGTAGACAGATAGATGGGGAGATGGAGAGACAGATGGATGGGCAGATGGATAGATGGTGAAGTAGGCAGATGAGTAGATGGAGGGATGCATGGAAGGCAGATGGGTAAATGGATGAATGGATAGACAATCCTTAGATGGAGGGGTGAATGGATGAGAGATGGATGGGTGGGTAGATGATGAATGAGTAGACAGGTCACTAGATTGATGAATGGGTGGGTGGTAGAAGGAAGTATGAATACATGGTTGGATAGATAGATAACTGTATGAGTAGATGGGTGATCTGAGAGGTGGGTAGATGGATGGAGGCTGTCCAATGTACAGTGGCCCCTGAGGCCCCTCTGCCCACCCACAAAGCCTTTTCCTGAGGGATTAAGGAGGAATGGGGACCTCTGATTCCCACCCAGGGTTGAGATGTGCTTTTAACCATGACTCTGAGATATCTATCTGCTAAGTCCTATGTGGTGGTGGCCCCAAGGACCTCTTGTTACCTGGTCCTAACCGATGTGTCCCTTTCAGATCCTTCTTGTGGGTACCCTGCAGGTGAAAGGGAATCCCAAGGTGGGAATCAGCGGGAGAAAGTGTGTACATGTGCCACTGATTGGGTTCGCTTTAACTGTTCAGTTCTTTAGCGCGGAGCCTCTGGGATAACTTTGACACAGGAAGGGATAGGAAGGGGAGAAACCTTCCAACTGATTCAGAAAATGTCTCCGCAGAGCCTCACTTTCCACTGAATTTCCTTCGATTACATTAGCATCTGCATCAAAGAGGCCTCAGCCACTGGCGCCTGCCCAGACTGCAGCACCTACCGGCCCAGACTGCAGCACCTCCCGGCCCAGACTGCAGCCCCTACCGGCCCAGACTGCCGCACCTACCGGCCCAGCCTGCAGCACCTACCGGCCCCGACTGCAGCACCTACCGGCCCCGACTGCAGCACCTACCGGCCCAGACTGCAGCACCTACCGGCCCAGACTGCAGCACCTACCGGCCCAGACTGCAGCACCTACCGGCCCAGACTGCAGCACCTACCGGCCCAGACTGCAGCACCTACTGGCACAGCCACAGCAGCTGATTGGCCGGTGGGGCTGGTGCGGTGGTCGGGTCTCCACTGTGGATTTGGCTATTCATGAGCTGTTGAAGGCTACACTGCAGTTCCCTGTCCCTCAGATGAGTGCTGCTGTTCAATCAAGGAAAGTGCTGGCAAGCCTCCCCTTCCAAGGCCCCCTCCAGGGCCACGTGGCCAGCAGGGTTTACATCTCAGGCACTGATTGCTTGTGGGCCTGGGGCCTTACCCTGTAGTCTGGCTTCTGTGTGCTTCTATCAAACTGACCTTGCTTTTCAGGGTCACTGAGGGTTGGCTATGCTCTGGTGCTTCAACTGGGGCCTGGTGGCTGGTGCGGGGGACGAATACACAGCAATGACATGACTCCTGTTTGTTTTATTGAAATGGTAGGTCTGGGAGGCCCACGGAGTGTACAACCCTTCATTACGGGAGAATCGGGCTGAACTGGTTTTGGTCAAATCTAGAGCCTTCCACCCTTTGCTCAGAAGCTGCCAGTGGGCCCTAGTATAGCCCTAATGTGGCTGAAGCTGTTAGCGTGGCAGGGGTTCAGGACAGACCAGAACAACAGTTCTTGTGTGGACACTGCAAACAAATGCCGAAGGGTGGGGAACTCGGAGGTCACCTGGCCCAACCTTCTGTGAGCCTCTGGCATGAGAACACTTGGTCCCGCTCACGCCCTCCAACAGCAGGGCTAAGCCTCCTGAAGTAACCTGCTCCCCTATGGCTGGGAGACTACGTGAGTCCCCAGCTGACCTGTAGCCTGGTCCTGATGTTAGTCACCTGACAGGCCTCTGCTTCAGGACCCTGTCCCAGGTCCCTCCTCTCTGCTCATCAAGTCAGGTCCTGGACAGCCCTAGAAATGGCCATGGTGACAACTATCCCCCAGGCCTCCCTGAGCCTTGTGGACTACTGGCTCTGCCTGGGCCTGTAGATGGACATAAGGACTAAGGCCCTGACTGTGGCCACCTGCTCAGGGCCCGTCCTGTCCAGGCAGGGTTCAGCAGGGACAGCTAGATCACCTTGACTCCCTGGAAATCACGGGCCCTGAGTTCCCTTTCCAGGCTGTGCCCAGGGTCAGGGCAGAGGCCATACCTGGATATCAAGGTCAGAAAGGGAGCAGAGGCATCTGGGCATAAATGAAGTTTAGAGCACTTGCCAAGCATACACCAGGCCCTGAATTCCATCACCAGCACCCCAGAAAAGTAACAGAAAGATGCAGGAAGTGGGGGTGTGTGTGCATGCACTGCCCCCTGGAGGGCTCCCTCATAGAGCATCTTTTCCTCTTTTCCTGTTGAGTCAGCATTTTACTAAGCAGCCCAGGCTGGTCTTGAACTCATCACCTCCTGTGTCAGACTCCCAAGGACTGGGATTACAGGCACGCACCACCATATCCAGCCCAGCTCATCTTGTTTCTGAGAACGGTGGAAGACGGACTGGCACTGACACCAAGCCAGACAGCAGCTGCGCTCCTCGGCACACATGCAAAGAACCGAAGACGTGTTCAGTCAGGCCCTTGTACACAGATGCCCCCAGTGAGGCATTCACCACGGCCAAAACTGTCCACACATTCATCATGGATAAAATCCTAGCGTTTACAAGGACACAATGTTATTCAGCCCTGAGAAGGAAGACCAGTCTATCACATGCCACAGCATAAACCCCGGGGATACTGCGCTCAGTGTCAGAAGCTGGGCTCCAACAGTACCACCTGGGTGGTCTGTTTACATGAAACTCCAGCAGGCTGAGCTAGAGATAGAACACAGATCTAGGGCTGCCAGGGGCTGCTGGGGGTGGGGGGCATGGGAGAGACTGCTGGTGGGCACAGGGCTTCCTTTGGGGTGGTGGAGAGGTTTTGGAACCAGTTGGAGAGATGGTGCTCTGCATCCTTTTCAATGTGCTAAACCACACTGAACTTTGTAGTTCAACATGGTAAGGCACATACCATGTGACTCTTGTCAAAACAGCAACAGTACCAGAGGGACCCTCAGCAGGCAATGAGGATTATCTGAATCAGCAAGAGCTGCTCACCGCAGAGCCCCTGGGGCTGGTAGGAGGGTTCTAGACCCTCGGAAGATGACTCTCCTCAGAGGGGCTCTGGCTGGTGGCTTCCCTCTCAGAATGGCCTCATGGTGGGCTGTGTAGCAGGGCTGGGGGCAGCACCTGACCCACACACCTTTTCCTTTGCTGAGTCACACATGATTCCCTGAAACCAGGTCCAGGAAGATCCTCTATCTGGAACCAGGCATTACCCACAGACCTCTGACCCAGCATGGTATCAGAACTGTGTAGGGAGGACCATGACTTATGATGGAGAAAGGACAGAAAAACTTTCTGCCCAGAGCTGCTGCTGTGGCAAGGGACAGTGTTCCCCGGAACAGAGAGGCTGTGTGAGGCTGATGGAGCCACTGCTCTGAAAAGGGGTTCATCTCACCCAGCAGGCCCCGCTCCACACCAGCTTTAATCCTGCCCAGAGTTAGGGAGACAGGACACCGGGGCCTGAATTCCGCAGAAGCAGGTGTTGCTTGAGCAAGCATTCTGTAGAAGATTCCTCCCTGTGCCCTGTGGTTGCCACACCATGTATTGCTTGACTTTTTCAACAAGTACTGCTTGTAAACCTCCAACTCCAGAAGCCTAGACCGACCACCTGCTCATCTACCACCCTTGCTGCCCACCCAGGAGAGCAAGACTTCCTTAACAAAACCTCTAGCCTGGAGGAAGCACAGGAAAGAATGTGGACACAGGTGAGAAGGAAACCCAGAGCCAGGGTATCTTAAGTACACCCCGGAGGGGTACCCCCATCACTCTGCCTCAGGGCAAACAACTGTAGCATCTTCTCTTAACAATGCCACCCTTCCCTCTTCCTATGGATCCAGGACCCTCCCTCCGGGGCCACCTACACAGGTAGGTGGCACACAGGCCCTTCTGAGGCAGGCTTTCTGGAAGATGGATGCTTTGGTGACCCCACACGGGTGACATGCGAGAAGCAAACAAACACAAAAACAAACGAGGCTCTGAGAGCTGCACAGGAGCTGGCCTGGGGCCAGAGGACCCTGGGAGACAGGAGCACGGCTTACCCGGATGTGTCGAAGCTGTCATAGGAGCCCACCGTATAGTGCCGGAAGAGTTTCTTGCTGCGGTCTGCACGGGTTTCTGTGGGGGAAGAGAGAGGGCATTCAGCAAAGTCACACAAACCTTCAGGAGGTGGCGGCTGGCTCTCACTGACCCACCCCAGGCAGTGACAACCATTCTAGCTGGTTGCATCCCCGGAGGGATGACAAGGCTGATTTGGGGGCCCAACGCTGCAAAATAAGGGGATGCCGTGAACACTGGGCTGTCCACAGAATGAAGGGAGCACTGTAGCACAGAGGCAGGGTCCCGTTTGGCTCACAGAGGGAGGCAGACACTCTATAGAGCAGGGGCCACGGGCCTTCCACCTGGGACAGCGACCCCACCTGCGTGCAGAATCTGCTGGATGGGCATGCCCAAAAGATGCTGCCCAGGCTGCCAGACTGGCAGGCCTGAGGACCCAAAGATGACAGCCTTTGCATAAAGCAACGTGCTCACCATTAATTTTCTGATTATCGTTGCTTTCCACTTTAAAAAAAAAAAAGCTAACTAAACACACATGATTAACTTTCCTAATTAAGCTGGCTCGCTCCCTTACTCAGCAAATTCAGACGTTAGTTCAGAGGGAAATTATACGAGAGATGCAATTACATTAACAGATGGCTCAGGGCTGAGGGGGGACTGCCAGGACACAAATTCAGGACGCACCAAGGCTCACAGTGAGCTCAAAGGCATCCCTTCACACATAAGATTTCTTGCACCATCTCCTGAGATCCTGCAAAACTTTGGAGGGAAACGAAGCAACTGACTGTTGGGCAAGGCCTGAACTCTGATGTGTGGGGTGAGCCTCTGTTCCAGGGTCTTCCCTGTCTCATTCCAAGGTCAACGTGACTATTTCACTCAACCTCCCGCCAAAGCATGCTGCAGCTGGGGAGTGGACACAGGGTAGCTACTGAGAGAGGCTTGGGGTCCTTTCATGCTCGGAGGCAGAGAAAGTTGACCTCCTGTTCCTACAGAGTGGGGAGTCCCCTCCTAGGCTGGACAGAGTCAGGCGTGACCGAGGACTACATTTCCCAGCTGTCCCAGCATCCGGGTGTGGCTCTGTGACTAGTTCTCTCAGTCAATGGGGTGTGGGCACAGCAGATGGCGGCCTCCCAAGCAGCCCACGTGCTTCCCCTTCCCCCCTTTCCTGTTCTGCCAGCTCAAGTCTCAGGCACGAAATGGTAGAGCATCACAGCTCGAATGAAGAGGCCCCAGGCTGGGGAGATGGCTCAGTCAGTCAAGAGCTGTTTTCTTTTTGTTTTTTTTTCTGTCAACTCACACAAACTAGAATCACCTGAGAAGACGGAGCCTCAATTCAGAATTACCCCCACCAGGGGGATGGAGAGAGAGTTCAGGGATTAAGAGAACTGGCTGCTCCTCCCGATGACCTGTCTTCGACTTACATGTATATAAAAGAATTTCCTCCATCAGACTGGCCTGTGGCCATGCTTGTGGGGGCATTTTTTAAAAATTACTAATTGATGTAGGAGGGCCCAGCCCACTGTGGGTGGTGCCATCACTGGGCAGGTGGGCCTGGGCTGTGTAAGAAAGGTAGCTGAGCAAGCCAGGGGAAGCGAGCCAGCGAGCAGCTCCTCCATGGTCTCTGCTTCGGTTCCTGCCTCCAGGTTCCTGCCCCGAGTTCCTACTTGACTTCCCTTCAAGATGGACTGTGTTTGATAAACTCTTTCTCTCCAAGTTGGTTTTGGCCACGGTGTTTATCACAGCAATAGAGGGTAACTAGGATAAGAGCTGAGTTTGTATCCCCAAAGCCCTTGTAAAAAGCTGGGTATAAGGGCTTTCAAATCCCCACACTGAGGAGGAGGAGACAGGAAGAGGCATGGAGCTTGCCGGCCAGCCAGTCTGGCTTAATCGCAGAGCTCCAGGTTCGGTGAGAGACCCTGCCTCAAAAAATAAGGTGGAGAGCAATTGAGGAGAACTCAGGTGTGCACACACACACACACACACACACACACACACACACAGAGGCCCGGGCCTCTGGGCCCTCAGAATGAGCATGAAACAGACAGACACTGTTATGTAAGAGAAAATTAAGCCTCTACGGCACTAGGCTTAACTTTGGGGCTTTTCAATTCCAGCACCCAACATTCCCTTCCTTAACTGACAGGCAGGGCAGCAGGGCTCCTGGGACTCGGCTCCCACCTGCATCTCCACACCTTCCATCTGAATCTCTTCTCCAAACACATGCAAAGCTTAGGGTGCCTCTCTCAGCCGTAGCATCGTCACCACCATCATTACCGAGACTCGCCGAGTGCTACTGTGAGTCCCACCACAATCAAATCCTGCCATGGTAGCTCGGGGAGCAGTGCACACACCCTGGGCAGCCCCTCTGCCTCTCCAATCAATGCTGTGGGTCCCCTCCACAGGGGTAATATCTCATTTAAGTTAAAGTTGAAGGCATCTTGCTAGTTCAAATGTCAGCCTGTGTAGACTACATTGCTCACCAGTCCTACTCAGTCTGGTATTGAAGCCACACAGCACGAAAGTCTTAAACAAAATCATACTGACAATTGGCAGAACGTTCCCTCACAATGCAAGTCGAAAGAATGGCCTTTCTCAAATAAAACAAGCAACTGAAGTTTTAGGAAATGTGGTCTGTTGTACAGTAAACTGATCACCAAAAGTGAAGCTGTCAGGAATATAAATCTCACTCAGTTACTCTATGTCCTCATCAGCATTAACTGCCAACCTCACACAACCTAGAATCACCTTAAAAAAAAAAAGTCTTAGGCTGGAGAGATGGCTCAGCAGTTAAAAGCACTGACTCCTCTTGCAGAGGACCCACGTTCAAATCCCAGCACCCACAAGGCAGCTAACAACTGTCTATAACCCCAGTTCCAGGGGACCTGACACCCTTTTCTGACCTCTGTGGGCACTGCACAACATGGTGTACCTACCTATGTGCAGGCAATACACGCATACACATAAAATAAAAATAAACTAAAGAGTCTCAGTTGAGTGATTGTCTTTATCAGGTTGGCCTGTGGACATGTCTGTAGGGAATCATCTTGATTGTTAATGATGCAGGAGGGCCCAGCCCACCGTGGGTGGCACCACTCCCTGGCAGGTGGTTCTGGGATGTAGAAGAAAGCTAAGCATAAACAGAATTGTGAGTCAGCTGGCAAACAGCACTGGCCATGGTTCCTGCTGCACTTCCTTGACCACGAGTCCCCTGGTCAGAGGTGATGCTGTGTGGACTAGCAAGAAGGCCTGCCTGTAAGCGACTGCGCTGACGTCCATCAGTGGTGGACTGCGACCTGAAGGATGAAAGAAACCGTTTCCTCTTTGAAGATGCTTTGGGTCAGTGTTTTTGCCACAGCAGCAGAATGAAGCAAGACTGCATTGTGTATAAAAAGGGTCCTGAGATGCAAAATGCTGGTCAACAGAACAAGGTAGTGAGGGGCCAGCATCCTCTGCTGATGCCTGTCACTACTGCCCCATCGTGGTCTGCATCCTAATAGCCATGCCTCCTTCCTGCAGAACCTGTGGGTATCTAGGCACTGGTGGTGGGGGCGTGACTGATATATCTGATGGCTGGCAATGGTAAGGGCCACCAAGACCAAGTCACAGGGCTCAGATCAGCACCCTGGCCAGTGCCCACCTCCCCTTCACCAGACCACCCTGCTGAGCCCCTGGCACAGGGATCTATGTCCCTGTGTCAGTCATCAGTGCTCCAGGGGGTGGGAGGGAGCACGGCCTTTTTTTCTCTGAATGTTCCTTCTGCTTCACTGTCTGGGGCAGGTAGTGTGGGTGAGGTCACGAGGGTGATGCCTCATGAGTGGATGAGCAGCTCCTTGAGTGTAAGAGGAGGGACCTGAGTTGACACACTTGCTGGATTCACCATGGGATGCAGCACCTGGGGGCAAGCAGATCCCCTGGCAGGGAGGAGGCCCTCACCACACACAGTCCTTGATCTGACCCCAAGATCCAGAAGCCAAATAGGCCTTCATCCTCCAAACATCTCTTGGTGTGTGTAGTCTGGCCATGGTAGGGGAGTAGACAGACCTTCTGTGTAACTCTAAGCAGACATACAGCATCCAGGATTGCAGAACTAACACAAAGACCTCACCATACAAGAAACAAATAACCATAGTCCACAGGGTATGGGAGTGGACAAAGGGCACAGGGCACTTGCCAGGTCAGGGAGTAGTCCAGCAGCCTTGCACACCTGCCCCATACTTAGAATCTACAGGTGGTCAGATGTGTCCCCAACAGAATTCCACCCCTGTCAGCATCCTGCCCCACAGAGCTTCCATAGCACAGTGTTTACCAAGTCCATGGGAACCAGACCGTCTGCCCTAAGGGTAGAGATTAGAGGGGCACCCAGGAAGCAAGGATGCAGGACCCCAGGGGCAAGGGAAGGAGCCCAGGTATGTTGGCCTTCTATCACTGTGGACACCAGGCTGGTCCTGGGATAGCCATGCTGATGCCACATGTGTGCCCTGTGTTAGAGGGATAAGTGAGACATGAACATCTCTGCGTGGGGCTAAGCAGAGTGGTTCACAAAGGCACCAAAGGGCCCGAGGGCTGCTAATTACTGGTATTCATCTTAATTCTGTGGTTGTTGAGAGCCCCACGTGGCAGCTCTGTGCTGGTTGTCTAGGAAACCACTGGGCACTGAAAGCCATGCACGCCCTGGCTGAGTTGGAGTATCCAGGGTCCAGGAGCAGGGAGGAGAGCATGTTGTTGAATGTGTATGCACATGTTCATATGTGTGTATACATGTGCATGTGTGTGTGGGTAAGCATATTGCACAAGGTGCATGGGTGAGTATTTGTGTGAACGTGTACATGTGTGCATATGTACGTGTGTGAGGTTAGATGGATGTGTATATGCATGCACATGGTTGTGTGGCTGAGCATGTATGTACAGGAAGATGTGAGTGTGAGTATAGATGTGTATGTGTGTGAGTGGATGCATGTGTGAGCTGGTGTATGTGTGAGTATGGGTGTATACACTTGTGAGTGGGTGTTCACCACAGGAAAAATGTTTGATAAAGGGATTGTTTCTAGGTCAGGTCAGGA